CATTCCCGCAAACTCGCGTCGTTTGGCTACGGTGTGCCAATGCATCAGGAAGACTGCCATGGAGGCCAAACACTGATGAACTGGTAACCTCGCGGAAACGACAGGCAGTGTGGGCACAGCTTGGCTTCTTGATGGCATTTCCCATAAATAACATGAGCGTACACTGAACAACTATAGATCTTGCCAAGGTAAGACATGTAAAATAATTAGAACTAGTAAAACCAACGGAAGTGCGAGATGCCCGTACCAGCGATCAGCCCCTGTGGTGTGAGCTTCACGAGGAAACATGAAAAGGACACCACAACAAATCCCCGCTGCATTCGAAACAATTCCGAGGACAAATGTCATGAATGATTCTTGCTGAGTGAGTGATTCGCCAATAACATGAAATGTGCGCAAGAAATATTCTTTTCGGAAAAGATATATGCGAGAGATGAACGCAATTTGGCGGAAGGGGGGGGGGCAATGTGCGCTTTTGCTTCTCCCTATCGACGTGTCGACCCATCTAGAGAGCTTTTTTGGTGAGCTGGCAGGCTCTATGGCGGTTCCGAAGAGGCTGCTCCAGATTCACAAGAGTTCCCAGGTTTCATCAGAGTGAGACTTGTGCAGCAATGGTGCAAAATGCCCCCCGCCGTCGCCGTCAGCACTCGACCCCGTGCTTTTTTTTTGGAGCGCAGAAAGTGCCGCCGCTGCTGCAGCTGCAAAATCCAATCACCTCGTAAATCAATGGTAATAATCGAATGCAACGCCTTCATCGGAAGGTGGCTGGGTGTGCAGTTTGTCGTCGTTTTCACTTTTTCAGCCATCATACTGTAAAAAAGCTGCTACCGTAGCAACAGTCGACGGACTTAAAGATGATTATTTGGATTTCCAAATTTGGGAGCTTCTGAACATGACAGCTTCGTTTCTGTCATTGCACCAGTCTTCCTGAAGTGTAATTCCGGCACTCACCTATACACCTTTTACTGCTCCAATCATCCGAAGTCTGGCTACTTTTTGACCGACTTTTTTCTCCGTATGCAGAATCGGCTGGAAATCTGACCCCTTGGTAATTTCACTTCCTGAACATGAACATCACATCTGCTTGGTCCGGAACCTCCTGACGCCGGCGCCAAAATACCCCAATCATTCGGCGCCTGTGGCGCGGGCGCCAGAAGTTTCGGGCTAAGCGGATGTGATATTCGTATTCAGGAGGTCAAACTACCCCAGGAGACAACATTTGAGCCAATCTGTCCACGGAGAAAAAGTTGGTCACAAACTGACTCGATCCCGGCTGATTGGGGCAGTAATAAAGGGTAAATAACGCCGTAATTTCGTAAGAAGCGGTCATGTGAATAACCGGTTGCGCACCATTCAAAACTCACATAGAAAATTGCAGTTTATCTACAGAAAGTACCACCGCACCATTAATAAGACCTATTCCCGTTTCAGTAATAGAACAATGAAAATCCTTCCAGCAATCAAGGTATTTGTTTTTCTCATTGAGCAGGTTATCAGGCAGCAAGTTTTGTCCCACAGGACGGCCGCCCACAAGCCTTCTGCCAATCGGCGATCGCGAATTTCCCGACCAACGTCTCAAACTTCTTGAAAGGAATCCAGCCGGCTTTGTCAGAGATTTTCGCCAGATCTGGGGTGTATGTTGCCTGCAAGTAGATGAAAATCAGTTGAAACGTTTCCCAAATAATTTCCTGAACGTACCCTATAGATAATGTGCTTATCGATCTCTACTGGATCATGATTGAGGATGCGGATGTTAGGTTCGGGTTTGTTCCTGTAATAGGCATGCATATTGAGGTGACAAGCTTGGAGCTGAAAGAATATACCTGAATTCGATGACAAATCCCGCGGATGTCGTCAGTTCGTCCTTCTCTATTCCTAACAGCTTCATCACCGCGAGTGTGACTTCTGTATGCTGTGAAAAAGGTTCCTCAGAGGGTTTTCTTGTTTGACCTCACTTGTGAATAACAGTTTTGTTCACTGCAGATGAGTCATCCCGTGTTGAGGGGATATGGGTTTAGAGCAGTGATAGCCCGGTTTTTCTTTCTTTTTTTCGGCTTCTCCAGAACTTAGCATTGTCAATCGTGCTCACCGTTTTCATTAAATTGTTGTCGCTTACGCGCTTCAACACTGGTGCAGAAACGAGCATGGTGGCGGCGCGCAAACCCCACCCCTGAAACGATTTCGCTCATTTTCACTCGCAGCGAGTATTGAGCTTGACCGGAAAAGTTCTCAGTCGTTTTGAGTGTTTCACTTTAAACATCATCGACTTCTTAATACTGCTCGGATCTTAATCCGAATAAGCAACCTGTTAGCATCAAGCACATCCTTTGGCAATGTGAAAACGGGCAGGCATCGACGAATCCATCAAAGAAAAAAAGCTGGATGGTCGAGAATAACGAATCCACGACGGCTTTTTGGCCTGTGTCTTATCTGAAATGAAGTATTTTCCAGCAAGGAAGTTCTGAAAATGTTTGAAAAGGTGATAGTCGGTTGGTGAAAGGTCTGGAGAATATGGCGGTTGAGGTAGAACTTCAACCCCCAATTCGTTCAATTTATGGATAGTGATTTGTGAAACGTGTGTGGGGCGTTGTCATGCAAAGGAATCGGACCCTTTCTTTTGACACTGCTGGGCTGCAGGCGTCAGCTGCAGCCAGCAGTTAATAGCTGGATCACTTTAGGTACATTCCTCGTATTTCTTCACAGTAGGCACTCTGCTGTGATAGTTCTGGCCTGGTATACAAAAAGTTATAGTGATACACCAGCTCGATTACCAGCACAATCCTGTGAGCGTTTTTTCGTGAGGATCCGGCTCGGCAAATTGGCCTCGGTCATGATTCGTACGGGCATCAATCCTGGTCCGGAAAGGCATGATCCGCTTTTCATCAGGTGACAATTCGGTCCAAAAACGGGTCGTTTCTGTTGCGCAAAAGCAGTGAAGAAGAAACCTCGAGACGTGCCAATTTCTGCCGGTCACTCAAATTGTGGGGCACCCACTTGTCGAGTTTTTTCACCTTCCCAATGCGTTTCAGACCATTCACTACAGTGGAATTTGCAACGCCTAGTTTTTGCACTGCTCGAACTGTTTGGGATTGATCAACCTCCACAAAACGGGCCTTCTCCTCGTCAGGTTATTCCTGTGCGTCATTGCTAGCGGAGGTTCCTCTTCAAGTCTGAAATCTCCAAGAACTGCAAATTTGTCGAACCCATTGTCGCGCCGTGTTTTCTCCAACAGTCAACCACCCACACCTGGTTAATTGTCGAGTTGTCCCGACTGCCGGAATTGACTCAGTCTTCTGTGAAGAACGATCTCTTTCCGAAGCTTGCCTCTCTTGACATTTTCTCCAAAAGTCTTTGGAAAAAAGGGGGTTTATAAAGCAAACTGGTGAAAGGTGCAATTATCCCATACAGAAGCGCAAAAAGAATGTACTACTGAGACGCAAGGGAGAATGAGTTTTTAATACAGCACAGTGAAAATATTTAACATAAGACACTGAGAACTTTCCGGACAACCTAATAAAACTGTATTTCCCCTGACAAATGTCATTCATTCATTAGATAGAACCCGCAGTTGAAGGGATAGGCGCTGACCTATAGTGAGCGCTTAAAAGAGACGTCCAAACCTCATTTAATGGCCCCTGTCTCTTCCTCTCATGCGGAGCAGGATCGATGAGGGAGTCGCAATGGTTGGGTAATTTCCCGCCCCGACAACTCCGCTCCCATGGCCCCGCCCATACGGTTAGCGTGGACTGCCCTTTTGATAGGATGATGATAGTTTGTTGCCTGGATGGAGAGCACACGTTGGCTGATGGGTTTCAGAAAGTATGTGATCTTTGTGAGGGCTTGCCCTGTTCCATCCTGAAAGGGCTGCTAACCCAAGGAGTGCTTCAGCAAAGCTATTTCGCAACAATCGGGGGGAGGGAGATTCAAAGGGTGATCGATTCTCGACCTATTCCAGGACAGCTCGTGGCGAATTTCATGCAGGCTGGGAATATTACTCACTCCTGGGTCTAGTGAATCTATGGGAAAAGCGTTCCTTGCTTCACGACACCCCACAGAAGGCTTACCACCCAACCACAGGCACGGGTGTTGTCCCTGCGGACGCTGGTGTGTCAGGGTAGTGGGTTTGGAGGTGCGGCAAGTAGCCGCTTTCCGTCATTCGTTGCCGCTTCCGCGCTAAGGCTGCGTTTATACTTTGCGGCAGCGTAGCGTAGCGCTTCCAGCGTACGCCAGCGGCAGTGCCGAAGAGAGGATGCATATCGATCTAGCTTCACCAGCGTCACCAGCGGCACGCTAGCGCACGCTGGCGTAGCGAGGGCACGGGAAGCATAGCTATCGATCTAGCTTCACCAGCGTTTCTCGAGCGTTTCTCCAGCGGCACCAGCGTTTTGCTAGCGCTTGCAGCGGCAGGGAGTAGAGACTATGTGGCCGTGAGAGACGCGGAATCGACGTGTATTGTAGAGACTATGTGGCCGTCGGAGACGCAGAAGCGATGTGCATTGTAGAGACTAAGGGCGAGTGAGAGACGCGCAATCGATGTGTTTTGTACCCTCCAGCTCTCCCATAGTCTCTACCCTGCCGCTGCAAACGCTAGCAAAACGCTGGTGAACGCCGGAGAAACGCTGGCGTACGCTAGCGTGCCGCTAGCGTACGCCAGCGTGCCGCTGGTGACGCTGGTGAAGAGCTAGATCGATATGCATCCTCTCTTCGGCACTGCCGCTGGCGTACGCTGGAAGCGTTACGCTACGCTGCCGCAAAGTATAAAAACGCAGCCTGACAGTTGTGAGAAGGACTACAGCAGCCCCAGCCCATCCTGATTCCCCTAACACATACCTGATGCGTTCACAACGAACAAGACCGTATCTTTTTCGTCAGAAGGGTGAAAAATGTTCTAAACATTGATGCCGCAATCCGTGAAAGAAGCGACTTCAATATTCACCGTTTTAACTTGTGAAACAATATTTGAGTTGTGAGGATGACATTGTCGTGACATACATGGTGGCCTATGAACTTACCGAAGCATATCCGATGACGCTTGGGCCTTCACCTTTGATCGCGCTCCTGATAGAGTCCAGCAGATTTTTCAGCCACACGCCTCCCATAATGTTTCTGCAAGGAGCATATTCTGCGCAGCGGATCTGATGGATTTTCTCCTGAAACAGATCGGATTGGATCTTCACGTTTCAAACAATCATAACATTGCGGCTGACATGCGAGTTGCCTGCGATTTTCTCATTCAGCTCCCTAATGTTCTCTCCCTGTGTATGTCACCGGCGATGTTTGTTGTAATTCTATGTGATGTTCACTGGGTTGGAGTTATCGTATAGAATGCCCGACGAGAATGATAACACAGCTTTCTTGAAAGAAGCGGCATTGTAACCACGCAGAGTGGGTTTGGATATCCAGGAAGGGTATGGAGATTTGTACAGGTCCTGAAGGGAAAATCTCCGTAGTTGTAGGGAGGATATGCTAGAGAAATCAATCAACTAACCATCTCGATGATATTATCAGCCAGATCTGCAGCACTACTGATGGTGGGCGACCAACCGGTGTTTTTTGCGATGTAGTTCAACAAGCCCTTGAATTAAAGTCTTTATAGGGAAGTTATGGCGACTGTCATGTAGAGACGGGGGAGAGACGCAGAGGATGTCAGCCCGTCGAACGCAGGAGAGGTTACTCTGCGTCCCTGCACTCACCCTAATAATTTTTTTTGCCTTCCAGCCAGACGCGCTTCCTTGGAAGTGATTAAGATGAGTTGGGCAAAAGTGCTAGCCAAAAACTGAATTATTCTCTGCCGTTCCTGCACTCTCCAAATGAGATAGTGTTCGAGCGCATGGCTCATACAGAAGCCAGAGCAGGCGCTTCGCTGCCTTGGCTCACAGCTCTTCCCCCTCACCCACGCAAGAGGCTACGACTTGTTGTTGCGTGGTGAAGGGGGGGTGGTTTCAAATCTGGCAGAGTGTCATCAGATATTGGTTTCCATGCTAAACAAGGATTGATAGGTACCGAGCACTTGAGTGCGAAAGCAGCGTCCAGACGTCGCGCGTTACACAGCGTCGTCGAGCGTTAACGTGCCATCAGCGAAGTCTGAACGCTGCCGAAAGCAGTACTCATCTTTGGCCCAAGGTCAGAGAAACCTACCTTGATCTGACACCGGGCAATCCTTCACGGAATACATTCTCAACATCGGATCATCGATCGTGTACGGTACGGGACTCCAGAAGTCAAACTGCGACTTATTCCAATCTGCCCAAGCTGTGGGAGTATAGAAACCGGCTAAGGCTACCTGAAAGAATGTGGTGGAGTACCACGTCCATAATGCTGATGGCGATGAATAATGGGAATACCATTGCGCGACTCTTTATCCGTTTATTGCCGTTGTATTCGCAACAAATTCAGAGCGTAACAGTGCCGCGTGCGGATGCGTTGCGGTCTCAGGAAGCGCCCGAATAGTTTATGCGTTTGCTGAGGTAATTATTTTAGCATTTTTGCTCTGCTCATCTTCTGACGAAGGTGTCATTCTCTGCCAGCAGTAAGGAGCGCCATTTTGCTCGAGAGGGACCATTCTGATGTGAGGTTCAACCTTGACGTGCTCTGCTCGTCTGCTGCCTCTCACAGCATGAGTTGACTTTGTCGAGTCAGAAAGTGACATGGGCCATCTTTTCACCTGAGGAGCAATTTCTTACGACACACAGGAGGTTCAGTCAATACTGAATTAAACGCTTTCTAAATCAAAATCACCTGCTAGCGGTCCGCCTTACCAATCACGCGCGCGAGACCGCCGACGCCAGGCGTGACGCGCAATCAACGCAACCCGTGTCGGCGACAAATTATAAATCGTGTCGGTGAAAAGAGAGCGAAAATCATGAAGTACTTTTCGGGTTTACAGAAGAAACAATGTGAATCAACCTGTACCTGTAATGTCATCTGACACCTGTTAGCTGAACTCGAGTAGTATTTGGCCTGGTTAGGAAGGTAGTTCTCGTTCACCAAATCGCCGACGAAACGTCTCATCTCTCGACCCAATCCAAGAGACTGCCGTTTGCCAAACTGAAAATCCATGGGACACTGAAGGGCAGCATACCAGCTGAACGACTCAGAAATTTACCGAAGTGAGCTCAGTGTCCCCTTCGAACCCCCATCGAACAGGATTCATCTTGAGAATTTGTTCCGGATTCCGATTTCCATGTCGTGTACCCCATAGTACCAATTTTGTGTGCGGATCTGAATGAAGCTGATTAGAAATACAACTGCCACGCGAGCGGTGGGCAGGTGAATTCCGTAGTGCAGCCCAACCACCTACCTGAAGGGGCGTGTCCACCGACTTGATTATGGCGACGCAAGATTAAGGCTAACGGCCCTTATCAACAGCATACGCATACGCCTATGGTTCCCCTGGCCGTATGTGTTGTCTTGCTTCGCCAAATATTTGCAGTCTAGCTCCATCATTGCACCCCGAACCAAAAGCATCCTGAAGATAACGCAGCTCGTTTCACGCGTCTTACAACTGAGCGTTGGTGGACGCGCCTCTCAGGGGCCGTGATATGACCTGTGGTAGCCACGAATCCTATCTGAAGCTGCTGTCAGCGACCGGCAGAGCATGCTATGGGCCCATGAAGCACCAATCTGTATATCTGAATGATACCTCTGCTAACTGGTTGACGTCCCTTTGTCTTACCAGTGATGAATACCACACACGTCCATAAAACCGTGAATCCTGAAAAGAAAAAAACTTTTTTTCATTCGATGTATTAAAAAAAGATGAATAACCGAAAAGCAGGGCGACCAAAAAGGTATGAAAACGAGAGGGGTACGTACTTCTTTTTCTTGAAAGAGGAGAAAGAACCAAAAAAAATGTCACCAAATGGCGTCCAATTACGCCCTATCACCGTCACAGGAATTGAGCGGCAGACACAGTTGCCATTGTTGCTGGTGTGTTGTTGTTTAGAAACTCTCCAAGTAGCGGCGAAAAATGTGAGATCTTGATTTTCTTTCGCAACGCAACGTCTCCTTTACGCATATGAGCCACCCTTGTCCATGCCTTTTTGAAAGCTCGCTCGTTCGGCTCCCGTGTCACCACGGGGTGTCGTCTCTGTACACGTAGCCCCCCCTTATTGTCCATGTCTCTTCAAAAGCTCTTTCGGCTCCGCGCCCGTGTGTCCCACGGGTGCCTACAAGGTCTGGGTATCGAAACGTTGCTTTTTTGATAAACATTCCGCAGGAAACGTTGGTCATTCCCTGGGACCCTGGATATTAGGCATTTGCGTAGAAAAAAAAACAGATTTTCATAGATTTTTCCTTTAACCCATGGTCAGAAAGGCCACAATACTTATCCATAGAACATGGAGTTCTTCCTGGGACCACTATGGATCTGCGGCTAACCATAGGCTTCTTCCAGTCAAAACTGGGCGAAGATCGGTTTGTAGGGGAACAAATAGTGCTCAGCAAAGTCTGTACGAGCTACCTTGTGAGAACATGTGAACTCTTGTGATCAAAATGGTTCATTTGTACCATTCCGCAACTTCACAACAGTTTACAAGTTTCACCAAGTGAAAACGAAAGTGAATTAGACAAAAATACTGGCAAACGCGAAAAATGCCCCTCCCAAACCTAACAGCGCCCGAAATTGTTTGCTTGGCTAACAGAGCTGCACCACCATACCATCTAAGGAATTCTATATCCCTGAATAATAATATCCATGGATAAAAACCAAATAACATACCGAGCAGCCGCATTCCGGTTTCTCCTGATGGTGGGATTCACACAGCATGGGAATCGCTCCCTTATATAGCACCAGGATTGCATGGTCCATTTAGTGAAGGTGGTGATGACCTTGCCGAAAAACGGCTTCCGAAAGGAAACTGAAAGCGTCCAAATTTATTCTGCAGCACAAAAACTGCGAGTGGCCTTCGTTTAGCGACAAAAGGTTTTCTAATGGCCGTTCATCGGAATTGTACACAAACGGCCTTTGGCCGAAGAATCGACCCTGAACGAGTTGGTTAGTGCCCTCGAAAGCGAACCAGCGCGACTTTTTGGGTCCAGAGAGAGCAGCTGATGCCTTCTGTGATGAGCCATGCACCCAAGTTCAATAAAAACTGCAGCGGCGATTACATGTGTGATCCTAGACCCATGGAATTTCTCGAAGAACCAGGAGGTGGTTCAAGTTTGTAGCCTTATTTTTTAGTTGATACCGAGTCTCAATGTGATTGCAGATGTTCTCAAAGCCTGGTCAACCTTCGGGAAAGGGGAGTCAGCTCTAGAGTCGAGTCACTGGCCAGCTTCCACCACTTGTGGAGAACAGGCTGGCGCCTCGTCAAGCCCAGCTTTCCCGAAACGCCCCAGCTCCCACAGAGAACAAGATTGTATGCATGCGGTGCCAACGATTACTGCCCAATTTCATCATCGAGTGATTTAATCCAGGGAAATACACCGATTTCTGGACTTTAGCTGTCCAACCTAGTGGATTCAACTACATAAGTCATCCACAATCTTCTACGGATGGGCCTGGAAGTGTTTTTTCACAGTTGCGCAAGTTGTGATTGGAAAAATAAAAAATAAAAAAATTGTTGAAAAGAAATCAAGAAAGAAAATAAATAAAATAAGAATAAAAAGAAATAGGATGATCCAAGTGATCTTGTGAAAGTGATCTACACATCTAATCGCTTCCCCAATCGAAGAACAAAACCAGCCCATGGCTTATCCTGTAGCGGCCAAAAAGCAGTTCATTCCTTCGAAAGCCTTCTATTACTTAAGAAATAAGCTTTATACTTCTTCATGTGACCTTGAACAAACAAGTTCATCATCTTGAACCTTTAGTGTTTACTCTGGGACCAGCAAGCAGCTTTGTGTTTGTTTTTTTTTCGTGAGCACAAAGTCACAGCTGAAGAGCGAAATGTTCGATGCGAGCTACAAAAGAAGACGGAAATTTCCTGGAAACGGAATTTCCTGAACCGACAGTACAAGAGAGAGCGCTATTCGGCTTGGAGGAGACATTTTGCACTTTCGTTGGTTCCGTTTTGTTGGTTCATGTCAACTTACCGTTCTTAGTTTGTCATGCTTATAAACTCCTGGAATAGTGCGAACAATGCCGCCATCGAGACAGGCGCCCGGAATAGTAACACGAACTTAAAGACACAGTGTACTATAGCATGGGGAGGGATATGGCGCTGTAATATGAACTGTGAGCTGGTAAGTAGCGTTTTACAGAGGGAAATAGCATATAAAACATTCGCCCAAAAACGCTCCAAGCAAGACCTCTTGACAGCCCACCGACATCGTACGAGTTTTCCGGCGTTTGGACGAGTCTTCCACTCCGTTAGCTGCAGCTTACAGATAATGCCAATTCGAATCTCTCGGTGTTTTCAGCCTAGTAATAGTTTTTATTCTACTTTGTTTCTTTAGTTTTGTTTTTCTGATCCCAAGACCTCTCTCACAGCTGCCCCAACTCACTGTAGCATGAACAATAACTGCAGCCAACATTAAGCGCACAAAATTAAACCTGAGCGGGAGCTACTTGGCACCGCGTCAACATCCCTCCTTTTCCCAAGGCGTAGCAGAGCGCAGGCGATCAGAGTCGGGCGGCATAGCCTCACAAAAAGACGCGCTGCCGAGTTTCCCGCTCCAGCATTGTCCACGTCTCTCCTCCATAACGCCACACCACTACTTCCTAGAACGGAGCCAAGGGAGTTAGGGAGGGACCAGCTCTCAACTATCTGCTTTTCCTTAGTGCGTACTTTACCGAGAGAGCAGACGACCGCAGAACAGGCATGTACTAGCCCAACTTGCTTCATTCTCTTGAACCCGTCCTAGAATTCTGCAACTAAACTCAAACCCTGGGAACACGTTCCGAACTCTCACAGAGAGTGTGGAGCCGCCACTGCGGACTTATCATCGCACGCCTGAGTGGAGGCCAGGGAAAACTTTCGGAGCTTTTTCTTGACATTAGAGAACGGCAACCATCAGACGTTTCTCTGAAGAGAAGAAATTCTCTAATCGGCTTCAGCAAACCGACTGCAATGGCGGGCAATTTGATTTGTTTAGTTTGTTGAGTAAACACACACAGGAGGAGATCAGGTAGCACTCATTAGCCGTTCTCCTTGAAACTGAGGTAGACTGGCATAAGTCAACTCGTTTGTCCTTAATTCTTCAGCATAGCTCACTCTATCACTTGATCTGCCG